TGTTTTATAGATGGGGACACTGAGACTCCAGGGTGTCAGGTGACCTGCCCATGGTCCCTGGGCTTTTATCTGTCCTCACTGGAGCCATAGAACAGAGACAAAGCACTTTTGGAGTAACAGTGAGAAGCCTGGGGCCCCTCTTGGGGTGGGGAAGCCTGCTGCTGGGCCTCAAAGGGGAGACTTTGCTCCCTCCCCAGCATCAGGCCTGACCCTCTGGCCCAGAGGTGATGCTGAGCCCTGGGAAATAGGGCAGCCCTGGGCTTCTGTGTCACTGTGGGTCCCCTCCCCCTCCCCGCCTTTGTTTCTTGTCCTCCACAGCCTCTCTGTCTTTTCTCTCCCTCCCCCTCCATCTCACTCCTCTCCCATCCCCTTCACTGTCTCCTCCGCGCCTTCTCCCCCCCTCCCCCCTTTTCTTTTTCCCTTTAGCCCACTCCCTGCATTACTGCACTCGGGCAGCTCCTCTTTATCCGTGCCTTTAACATTTACTTTCTCCACACCCTGGGGAGAGGGGAGACAGGCTGGGAAGTGGGAGGAGCTTAGCAGAGGTGCGCGCACTAATGGAGGCCTCCGTCATTAGCCATGCAGTTTTAGAAGAACACGGGGCCCTCCAAGCTCTCTTCTCGTGGACATTGTCAGGAGCTTTGATTGAGTCCCCGGCACAAGTGATAAAGAAAGGCTTTGCCTTGAGAAGGAGGGAGCTATGGGGGGAGGGGGGGGCCCGGTGGCCTGCAGCATCCCTGTGCCACAAGTGATGTGGTGGTCCTGTGTGGGCTCTTCTGCCTTGAGCAGGCTGGGCCAGGGCATCAAACAGAAGGGCTGTAGCCTATGAGAAGCAGCCAGGGGACTTGGGGACAACTAAACCAAAAGACTGGTCCAAGGGGATGAAAGGGATGCTGGACTGGAGGCCACCTCCCCTCCACTTATCCCTGTCCATCAGAGCCCACAGGCAGAGCGGCAAGTCTTAGAATCTGTCCTTCTCTCCACCTCTATCTTAATAGAGCCCCTTCTACACACACATACCATACACTTGGGCACACACGATACACACTCATGTATACACATGGCTGTCCCAGGAGACCAGACCACATGAACATAGAGCCCAGCCCTTGCCACCAAGTTTCAGTTTTCTGCTGGCCCTGGGCAGCTCCTGCACTCAGTTATGATGTGGTCTCCAGATCTGGCAGCCTTGGAATTGGAGTCCGCCTGGGTACTAGAGATGCCTGGTGCGACCCCGCTCTGCCCTGCTCGTTAAGAACTCCTGTCACTGTGGCTTAGGCCCACTCCCCGGCCTGTGGAGTCAGGTTGCTGTAGGGTTAAATGGGGCCTGGAGCCCTCAGTAATGATAAGCTGTGGAGCCTCTACCAGGTCTGTAGCTCATGACTGACAATTCTTAAGCCCCCACCCTTGGCCCTTGAAGAGCACTGACTCTGAGCAAGCCCCTTTTGACAGCCAGAACAGGCTCCAGTCAAAACCATCTGTTTCGGGAGGAAGAACAAGTCCGGGTGGCCTGGGGTAGGCTTGGTTTGCGTCTTGTCTGTGTGACGGTAAGGGGTGTCTTCTTGTTGGACGGGGTCCCCCGTTTGGATGGTTGATTGCATGATTTCTCTCATAATAGGGAACCAGACCTGCTCCCTCGGGCAGGGTTGGCCCGTGGTCAGCGGTCACTCCGTTGTCTACATGGGAAGTAGGCTGTGTGCACCATCCTCTGGTGGCAGGGCTGTATGTGATAACTGGGCTTCTGAGGAAAGAAAGCTACACCATCTGTTTCAGGTCAGAAGCCCTCCGTAGGAGGGAGATGAAGGAGCTGAGGTTTGGGATACATGAGGACGTGCCAGACCTAGGACTGACCTCAGTACTCAACCCAAGTTCTTTGTTGTTGTTGTTGTTTTTACTCTCGCTCGCTTACAACTCAGTACGCAGCTGAGGATGACTTTGAACTCCCAAACCTAGTTTGCTTTCCCCGTGCTGGGATTACAGGCGTGTGCTATCACACCCAGCTTCCAGTGCCAAGTTCCAAGCACAGGCTTTGCCATGGTTGACCGGTTCCCTCCTCCCATGGCTTCTGCCTTTGGGGAAGTCTAGAAAACTTGCTGTGTGTCTTGTTTGCTCAAAGTCACCACATCCACTGGGGCTGCTCCCTGGTGCTGTGTGGGGTGGGCTGGCGTGGCAGGCAGTGACATTTCCTGGTATGTTGAGGAAAGCCAGCAGCGGCTAGCGGGCACTGACGTGAGGTGATGGACGCAGCAGGACTCTGCGGGCTCCGGGGGACAGAGCCCCTGTCCTGTTCATCTGCTCTCTCTAGGCACCAGGCCTGCCACCCAGCTGGGATTTAGCAATGTCATTAATTCCTGACAGTCATCCTTGCAATCACCAGCGCTGTGTTGCCTGTGGAGCCCAAGGATGGAAGGTGTTTTCAGCCCTATGGCTTTCTTCTCTCTGGGGATCTAGGATGATTGTGCTTTTAGGGCTTTGTAATTAAGATCGTTGTCCTGCGCTTTGCCCTTTGGGATCCTGTACCTTTCTTGTGTGTTTTCATTCCCAGTTTTTAGATGGAGAAACTGAGGCACAGAAGTGATGTTTTGTAGTCAAATAGAAGTGACTGAAGTGGGAAATCAATCCCTAGTAAGTGCTGCAGCTGGACATGGAGTAGAAGGTGTCAAGAAGTGAGATTAGCCCTCTGGGCAGCTCCAGATGGACCCTGAAGCCCCCCTGGACTCTGGGCTGACCCCTTCCACCCAAGCCCTGCTCTGAGCTTAATGGTCTAATCTCTCGGGTCTGTTGCAAGGAGGCCGGATTCCTGTCTGGGGTATTTTTAGCCAGCCTCAGGAAGAGGAAGCTCCACCGAGTGCTGGGGGTGGGGGGAGGGCAGCACCAGGCCTGGACTGATTTCCTGAGGAAGGGCTTGTCCACTGGCCATGCTGACCCTGGCCCTGGGGGTAGAGCAGGCAGGAGCCACCCACTGGAGTGGTTCATCTTCTGGAGTGTGTCAGGAACGGAGCCAGGGCAAGGCATAGGGACATGAGTGAAGCCCAGAAGGAGGCCCCCACAGCACAGACCTGGGGAGGCTGGCATGGGCATGAGAGCAGGCAGACGGGGCCAGGGAACTGGTGGCAGGGCTGGGAAGGGGCACCAGAGCAGGGATCACCTTGTGCAGAGGTGGGGTTCCTAGTACTCACAGAGCCAGGGAGAAAGAGGGTGCTTTTGCTGGTTTTCCAGCTGGACCGGGGTGCAGTGACCATGAACCTGGGATCCAGTTTTAACATTCAGGTTAGACAGTGGAGGTCTCGAAAGCGTTAGCCACACGATCTGACATGCAACTCCAGTGTCAGCTAAAGCTGTCTTTTTATCAGGATGTTTGGATATCTATGCATATGGCATTTAGTTAATTAAGAGAAACAATGGCTCCTATGATAGACGGTTTAGCCTTAGGGCTGACCGGTGGTAGCCCGTGTTTGAAACCAGCCTCCGAACCTAATCTATTCTTGTATGTTGATTATTTTTACTCTGTGTTATATATCTATATATATAACACATACACACATATTTAAAATTCTCATTCATGCAGCCATGCCATCACTAATGGCAACAATTGTTTAACACCTCAGTACATCCTAGGGTCTGTGCAGAATTAATTACCCCAGCAGCACAGCCATGGGACTCTTGGCGTGTTTTAGAATGTGGCATATTATATTTTGAGTCGGTGGGTTTTTTTTAATCAGTTCTTAAAATAATAGAGTAATTAATTTCTGAAACAGAAGGGCCAGGACTATGGTTCAGTAGAAGAGCGCTTGCCTAGCATGCTCAAAGCCCTGGGTCCAATCCCCAGCTCTGCAAAAAAGAAAATTAAAAAGCTATTCAACTTCATTCATAAATCACCAGACTTGGAGGCACATGTCTGTAATTTCAGCACTCAGGAGGCTAAGGCTCTAAGACAGAAAATTCCAGGCTAGCCTCAGCTATATACTATATACTGAGATCCTGTCTCAAAACAGAGTGGTCATCTTTGTGCATTTTGAAACAGATTTCTGAGGGCCCGTGAAGAACCTTTAAGGCGCGGTTTAAGAACCACTGGACATGGATTGGGGAGATGGCTCTGTGGGTACAGTGCTTGCTACAGTGAGGACCTGAGTTTGGTCCCCAGCACACAGTTAAAAATCTAAGTGTGGCCGGGCGGTGGTGGCGCACGCCTTTAATCCCAGCACTCGGGAGGCAGAGGCAGGTGGATCTCTGTGAGTTCGAGGCCAGCCTGGTCTCCAAAGCGAGTTCCAGGAAAGGCGCAAAGCTACACAGAGAAATCCTGTCTCGAAAAACCAAAATAAATAAATAAATAAATAAATAAATAAATAAATAAATCCAAGTGTGGAAGCACATACCTGTAACCCCAGAGCTGGAAGGCAGAGTCAGGAGACTCCCTTGGGTCTTCTGGCCAGCTAGACCAGTCAATGGGTGAGCCCCAAGTTCTATTAGAGACCCTATCTAAAAAAACAAAAACAAAACAAAACCTGACATCATTGGCCTTCATGCAGGTGTACACATGGCACATGCACCCACACCATACACCTGCACATGCATGCATACACCACAAAAGAAGGAAAGGGGGAGGGGAAATGCATCACTGGACAGCTGGGTGTGAGGGCTCGCATTTGGAATCCTAGCACTTGGGAGGCTGAGGCAAGAGGGTAATGAGCTGTAGGCCAGCTGCAACTGCCTTGTGAGACCCTGTCTCAAAGAGAAAGAATCACAGATGCAATCCACCTTAACAGATGGAAAGACTCAGGGGGTGGGGCTTACCCAGGACCTCTCAGAGAGATGGAGGAGATGGCTAGACACACAGAGGTTGTTGTTGCTCCCCATAATTACAGGCATATCCTGTTCTCAAGGCAGGGGTCACAGGACGTCAGAGCCACACACACCCCAAATTAGCTGGGCCCTTGTCCTCAGAGTCTGTTGCCGGCTCAGCATGGAACTAGCAGTATTAACATGACCTTTTCCTCCCACAGAAATGCCCTCCTAGCCAGCCGCCACGGGATGGAGGGCTTCATGGACTCAGGGACACAGACGGACGCTGTGGTGGTGCTGTCCTTGGCTCAGGCTGCTGTGCTGGGCCTGGTCTCAGAAAATGAGCTCTTTGGAGCCACCATAAGTGCTGAGGCCTTCTACCCAGACCTAGGGCCAGAACTGTCTGGGACAGCCATGGGGGAGCCGGGACCACCAGGACCCGACATCTATCAGCTGGCCTGTAATGGGCGGGCCCTGGAAGAGCCCCCGGAAGAGGAGGTGTTGGAAGTAGAGGCAGCCTTTGAGAAGCACACCCGGAGGAAGACACGGCCCCCTGTGCGGCTGGTACCCAAGGTCAAGTTTGAGAAGGCCGAAGAGGAAGAGGATCAGGAAGTGTACGAAGTATCTGTGCCTGGTGATGACAAGGACCCGGGCTCCGCAGAGACCCCTGCCGAGGTGGCCAGTGGCGGCTGCGAGGCCCTGGTGCAGAGCAGTGCCGTCAAGATGATCGACCTCAGCGCCTTCAGCCGCAAGCCCCGGACACTCCGGCACTTGCCTCGAACTCCAAGGCCAGAGCTGGACATGGCCGCATTCGATCCTCCTTTCCCCGACCCGACCCGGGATGGCTTCCCTGAGCCCAGCATGGCATTACCGGGACCAGAGACTCTGCCCACCGAATGTGGTTTTGAGCCGCCCCACCTGGCCCCCATGAGCAATCCTGAGCCTCCTCCCACCATGACGTCACCAGAGCTCGTCAAGCCAGAGCAGGGCTTCGTGTGGCAGGAGTCGGGCGAGTTCGAGGCGGATGCAGCGGGCTCCACGGTGGAGCGGCACAAGAAGGCGCAGCTGGACCGGCTGGACATCAATGTGCAGATCGACGATTCCTACCTAGTGGAGGCGGGTGACCGCCAGAAGCGCTGGCAGTGCCGCATGTGTGAGAAGTCCTACACGTCCAAGTACAATCTGGTGACGCACATCCTGGGCCACAACGGCATCAAGCCACACTCGTGCCCACACTGCAGCAAGCTCTTCAAGCAGCCCAGCCACCTGCAGACGCACCTGCTGACACACCAGGGCACACGGCCTCACAAGTGCCAGGTGTGCCACAAGGCTTTCACGCAGACCAGCCACCTCAAACGCCACATGCTGCTCCACTCTGAGGTCAAGCCCTACAGCTGCCACTTTTGTGGCCGTGGCTTTGCCTACCCCAGCGAGCTGAAGGCCCACGAGGTGAAGCATGAGAGTGGCCGCTGCCACGTCTGCGTGGAGTGCGGCCTAGACTTCTCCACCCTGACCCAGCTCAAGCGCCACCTGGCCTCCCACCAAGGCCCCACCCTCTACCAGTGCCTCGAGTGTGACAAGTCCTTCCACTACCGCAGCCAGCTACAAAACCACATGCTCAAGCACCAGAATGTGCGGCCCTTCGTGTGCACCGAGTGCGGCATGGAGTTCAGCCAGATCCATCACCTCAAGCAGCACTCCCTCACCCACAAGGTAAGGCTACCAGCCCTGGCTCTCCACCTCTCATCCTCTCTGCGGCACCCCCAAGGTCCTGGATGAGATTCACACAGGTCAACTTTTTTTTTAGGTGTACTTCTGTTTAATGTGTTGAGTGTTACATGCATGTCCGTGTACCACAGTGTGAGCCTGATGTGCATGGAGGCCAGGAGAGGGCATCAGATCCCCTGGGACTGGAGTTACAGGTGGTTGTGAGCTGTCACAGGGGTGCTGGGAACCAAACCTGGATGCCCTCAACCACTGAGCCATCTCTCCAGCCCAGACTTTACTTATTTTCATGCTTAGAAATTTATCTTAGAGCTGCGTGGTGGTGGAACACGCCTATAATCTCAGCACTCGGGAGGCAGAGGCAGGTGGATCTCTGTGAGTTCGAGGCCAGCCTGGGCTACAGAGTGAGCTCCAGGACAGGCATCAAAACTACACAGAGAAACCTCTCCCCCCGCCAAAAATAGAAAAGTATTAGAAACGTAATTGAAATTAGTTTTTCTCAGCAGTAAAACTTACCTTTAAATGTTTCTGAGGCCCGGGGAGGTGGTTGAGTGGGTAAAGGGCTTGCTGTGTAAACATGAGAACCTGAGTTCAGGTCCAGCACTCCCGTCAATGCTGGGTGTGGCGATCGATGTACATAACCCCACCGGTGGAGAGAGGAGACAGGCGAGTCCCATCAGCTCACTGGCCACATGGCATAGCCAAAACAGTGAGTTCAGTCAGGGTCAAAGATGAGGTGGAGAAGAAATGGAGGAAGACACCTGTGCAGACACACACACGTACACACACATGCACCACACACAGAGAAGAGGAATTTGAAAGATTTTTTTTTGTTTTTTTTGTTTTTTTGGTTTTTCGAGACAGGGTTTCTCTGTGTAGCTTTGGTGCCTTTCCTGGGACTCACTTGGTAGCCCAGGCTGACCTCGAACTCACAGAGATCCGCCTGGCTCTGCCTCCCGAGTGCTGGGACTAAAGGCGTGCGCCACCACTGCCCGGCCTTGAAAGATTTTTGTGTGAGGTGTTTGGGAACTCCCGCAGGACTCAGGCGTCCCTCCCTGTTCCCCACATGAGGACATGTAGCTGGATGCAATAACCAGAAATGGAGAGGATAACTTGGAGTTCTTGTCATCACAGACTTATAACAGAACCTTTGATTTCCCTTTAGAAAAAGGCAAACTATACATGATTATAGAAGGGATCGATGGGGCTGGGAAAGCCGGCAAGATGACTCAGCAGGTAAAGGCACTTGCTGCCAAGCCTGAGAAACTGAGTGATCCTCAGCACCCACGTGGTGGAAGGAGAGAGCCAACTCCCATTAGCTGTCCTTTGAGACACACACACACACACACACACACATATACCCACAGTAAATAAATGTAAAAAATGGGGCTGTGCATGCATGCCTAAGGTCACCCCCAGCAGCTGTGTGAAAAGCTAGGCACAGTGACGTGCACTCAGAACCCCAGTGCTGGGGAAGTAGGGGGGTCCTTGGAACTCTCCGGCAAACCAGCCTAGCCCAATCAGTGAGTTCCAGGTCCCCATGAGAGATTCTATCTCAGAAAACAGCTTGGACAGCTCCTGAGGCTGACTTGGCCTCCACACATACATGTGCACGTATGTACACTTGCACACACATGCACATCAAGAGGAAAGGGGGATGGCTCAGCAGTTAAGAGCACTTGCTGCTCTTGTAGAGGACCCAGGTCTGGTTCTCAGTACCCACACCCAGCAGCTCACAACTTCCTGGAACTGGAGTTCCAGGGGGATCCAGTACCCTCTGGTGGCCTCTGCTTGCCCCAGCACACACGGGATGCACAGGCAAACACTCAGCTACCACACATGGATGTAAAATGAATATGTGCGTCTTAAAATACAAGTGACTGACGATGTGGCTCACCTGAGCAAAGTCACTTTTTGTGAAGATGGACAATTGAGCAGCCATGTTCTTATCCACCAGGTTGGTAGACCCAACCTTCACCCATTTTCCTCTTATTCCTGGTGCCAGGTCACCAGTCCCCATCCCCACCCACCCCCCCCCCTTTTAGCCGTCACTACCTCCCCCACGAGGCCCTTACACCCTGGAGGGCAGAATGGAGCCTCTTAGGCCTAACCATCCCATTCTGGCACTTGGCTGACCCACGCTTTCCTTCCAACTCCAGCCAACTGACTTAACCTTTCAAAGCCGTGAGTGGCACTTTCTCTGTGTAATGACCTATGGTGATCCATCGCTATTGCTCACAGTGGACACTGCAGTGAGCCTGCCAGGCCAGGAGCCCGAACCTCTCCAGCCCCCAGAACCTTTCTGATAGGGCGGGGACCATTGGCAGGCAGGTCCCACTGTGGTGGTAGCAGCGGCTGCCGAACGTACAGTGTTAAGGATTCTGACACTGAATCTGGGCTCATCAGTCAAACTGTATAATTGATTATCAGTGTCTGCAAGGGTGGGAGTGAATGATGATCTGTATGCTGTGTGTTCGCCATCTTTCTCCTCTGCTCAGAGACTTAAAACCCTACTGACGTGCTCAGAGATAAAGGGTATGTGAAGAAAGTCGAAGGCATGTGTCAGTGTCTTCATTTGTACCCCTCCTCCGCTCATCTGTGCTTACCGCTCCTGAGTGGGGCCCCCTGGTGGTCATGTGGCCTGCCCTGTCACAAGGATAATGAGGGTGTGCACTAAAGAGCACCTGGCTGCTAAGAGAAAAAGCACAGGGTCTGTCAGAGTATCATAAATACCCTGGGTTCAGTCACCAGCACATACGCACAAAAGCACGTCATACAAACATTTTATATTAGATAGTTGGGACAGCAGCTGGGACCGGAGACATGCATCCGTCCCAGTGAAGTTCTCTTCAGCAGGAGAAGAGCTGCTCCCAACTGTGACCCTTCTCTCCCAGCATCCCCTGTGTACACACACAGCACCTTATTTCTGTGCTGAGTGAGTGTCCGCTCTGGGCCGAGGCATGCGACATTCCAGACGACAGTTTGCTCTGGAGCCCGTGTCTCCTGGGGCTGAATGTCCATAAGAATCACCTGAGGGGACTGTTGCAACTAAAAACTCCTGGGCTATGCCAGGCCCCGATGAATGAGCCTCTTTAGGGAGGTGCTTCAGGCTGTTGACTGGAGAGCTACAGGTGGCCGTCCTCTCCAGCGAGGTGGGAAGCACACCTTCAAGGGGGCTGTGGGAGAGCACGAAGCCTGAGTGTCAGCCATTTTTCCTCTGGGGTGCATGAAGATTTTTGTCCTTTTTCTAAGTGTTGGTGATTGAGCCCAGGACACAATCTTTGGTAGATGAGTTCTCTACTGAGATACACTCCCAGCCCCCCAACCCCCACCCCCACCCCCAAACAGAGTCTCACTGTCTTTTCCTGGCTGGTCTCAAACTTACAGAGATCTGTCTGCTTCTGTGCCCCCATACCCAGCTTTTATATATTTCCTTTTACATGTAGAAGTGTTTTGCTTGCATGTATGCATGTATACCACATCACATGGAAGCCAGAAAGGTTGCCGGAGTTCCTGGAACTGGAGTGACAGAACCACCATGTGGGTGCTGGGAACAGAATCCGGGTCCTCTGAAAGGGCAGCAAGTGCTCTTAACCACTGAGCCAGCTCTCCAGCCCCATCCCACCCCCTGACTTTTATTGATAAGTTGTCTGTGTAGGCCTTGAATTTGCTCTGTAGCCTAGACTACCTTTGAATTTTCCACCCTACTTTACTTCCTCAACCTCCCCTAAGTATCTGGGATTACCAGCCTGTACCACCATGGCTGGCAATGTACAGCTTTCCTTGTTTTCTTCTCCCTACCCCTACCAACTCTTGTTATCTTATGAACAGGTTCTCACTGTATAGTTCTAACTTCCTCAGATTGGCTCCTCAATGCCTCAACCTCAGCCTCCACCCTTCGGTGCTGGGGCTCAAACCTAGGGCACCTTTTACATGCTCGAAAGACTCTCCTCCACAGAGCTCTGTCCCCAGCAACACAGCTTCAATCATGTCTCCAAAGGGTCTGTCCCCCAAGAGATGTAACTGAAAATAAACAGACGAACACATCCTTGATGTAATGAAAATTGTCCAGACAAAGGCATTGCCCTGCTGACCACAGGCCTGTGCTGCTGGCTTCTAGCAGGTACACGTGCCTGTTTGCTGATGAATGGATGGACAGACAGGTGGATGGATGGGTGGACAGACCCCCCTCATATCTCTGCATACTGGTGCAGCGGACCTCCTTGCACACTCAGGCAGTGATGGGAAGGCACACAGTTTGTGCCTGCCTTATCCTGGAAAGAACCCAGGAACAACAGCCCGCCATACCCCAGAGATGGCCAGCGGAATAACTCAGCAGGTACAAGTGCTTGCCACCGGGCTTGATAACCTCAATTTGCGCCCAGAACCCACATGGTGGAAGGAGAGAACCAAGTTCTGAAAGTGGCACACACACACACAAGTACTTTTTTTGTAAAAAGGAATTTTCCAGAGCCACACCTGTTAGTGCCCCAACCCTGAGTGGTTCCTCTACCCCCACAGGGCGTGAAGGAGTTCAAGTGTGAGGTATGTGGCCGAGAGTTCACCCTGCAGGCCAACATGAAGCGCCACATGCTGATCCACACCAGCGTCCGGCCCTACCAGTGCCACATCTGCTTCAAGACCTTCGTGCAGAAGCAGACGCTCAAGACCCACATGATTGTGCACTCGCCCGTGAAGCCATTCAAGTGCAAGGTAGGGGACTGTCCCCACAGCCAGCGTGGCTAGTGCTCGCCTGGGCTTGGAGGGGGTGGGGAGAGCAGCTGGGGATCAGAACCTTGAAGCTGGTGAAGCTGTGCTTCTGAATTGAGAGGGGGTGAAGGTTGTGGCCCAGCCACTGAAGGGGCCTGGTCAGGACCCTGTAGTAAGATGTGAGCCGCAGCTCCTGCCTCCTCCAGCTCAGAGCCGGCAGGAGATGTAAGGAGCAGCGACCATCAAGAAGGCTGTCCTTGGCCTCCCTCCGTGGTCACACAGGAAAAGACAGTGTGCTGTGTGTAGTGGGGTGGGGGTGATTCTGCTCAGGAAGTGGGAATAGATTGGCCAGGATTGCAGGCTCCCTACAGCCCTCTGCTGCCCTCCCCATTCCAGGTGTGTGGGAAGTCCTTCAACCGCATGTACAACCTGCTGGGCCACATGCACCTGCATGCAGGCAGCAAGCCATTCAAGTGCCCATACTGCTCCAGCAAGTTCAACCTCAAGGGAAACCTGAGCCGGCATATGAAGGTCAAGCATGGCGTCATGGACATCAGCCTGGACAGCCAAGGTGGGTGGGCTGTGCGCAGTGGACAGAGCAGGAATGACAGCGGCATGGCGCACTCAGGAGTCTCCTGTCCAATCAGGGGCGTAGGGAGGCTGGCCAAGGCCGATACCTCACTGAGGTGGGCTCAGGTCTGGAGAGAGGGGGAGCCTGGGGAGCCATCGTGGCAATAACGGGGGTATTTATGTCGTCTTCCAAGGACTTCCATGGGCTCACTAAAACAATAATAAAAACAATAACTTACACATATTGAGTGCTGTGTAACTCATGTGACCCTCACAGGGAGGCTGCTGGCTCTGGGATCACTCCTACAGCAGAAACCGCAGGACAGAGAGATCAGGCAACTCAATCACAACACACAAGAGCCGTACATGTTCCGTCCGTCTCTCCCATATTTATCACGAGACACCGTGATAAGTTCAAATAAATGAATGGGGAAGTCATGAGAGGGGAAATATGAGGCCACGCCTCCAAGTGTGCGTGGAAGTTCTCAGACACTCAGAGAGGTTAGGACAATCAACCAGCCATGGTGCCTGCTGGACAGAAGGAAAGCCACATGTTCAGAAGAGGGATAGGTGGTCCTGCCCTTCATCTTCATGAGAGAGAAGCGTAAAATAAATAAGTAAAAATGTAGGAAAAAGAATTAAAACAGAACCCAAGATCCAAGAGAGCTAGGTGTGAAGTAATGCATACTTGCGATTCTAACACCCAGGAAACTGAGGCAGTTAGACTATGGTTCAAGGACACAGACCTCGAATCAGATAATAATACTAATTTAAAGAATTTACAGAGGGGCTAGGTACACTTGCACATACCTATAGTATAAGCACTTGGGATACTGAGGCAGGAGGATTACCACAAGTTTGAAGTCAAGCCAGGCTACATAATGAGACCCTGTCTCTCAAAAAAACCTGAAAACAGAAAGGAAAAGAAATTTCCAGAGGATCCGATATCTTGGCAACTGGTAGAAGACTCGAGCTGTTATGAGACACGCCCACTTCTGTCTGCAGCAGAGCTGACCATTGGTCTACAGCTCCATTGTGGGGAGGTGGCTTCAGTTGTACAGGCCCGAGGCCGCTGAACGTGCATCCCAGAGGCTCCTGCCAGTGACCGTGCCTTGGCAACAGCCAGAGGAGTTGACTAGCCACACTCAGTTGTTCACTATAAATGATGAGTGACTTTGGTTTTGGAACATCTGGCCACTAAATGGCCTGGAGTTTCTGGCAAAGCAAGTGATACTGTGGCTTGTTGTAGGTAGTTTTTCCATAGTTTTACCAGGCTGTGTTGGTAGGTAAGAAGGAACCCTGCAGCCTGCATCTAGATGCTCTCTGTAGCTCCTGGATACACATTGTCTGGAGTGGACGTGCCAGCTTAACTCTGCCCTGGACCTGCTGAGTGGGAGTCTGCATTACCAGAGGTTCTCTGTTCCTTGCCTAATGTACCTCCTCAGAATCTCCCCAGAACTGGCTTAAACTGCTGGGCTTCCAGCAGTTTCTAGGATGGGGTAAGGGGATTGCATTTCAGATAAGCTCTTTGAATATAGACCTTACAGGATGAGGTCTCAAATTGGCTGCCTATGGGAGTCACTTGAGGATTTTCTTCAACATTTAACTTTATGTTTATGGGTGTTTTGACTCCATGTGTGTCTGTGTACCATGTGTTTGCCTAGTGGAGGCCAGAAGAGGCTGTCAAGTTGATGGGAACTGTGGTTACATTTGTGAGCCACCACATGGGTGCTGGCAGTCAAACCTGGGGCCTCTGGAAGAGTAGTGCTAAACTTTGAGATATTTTCAGTGCTTATGGCTGAGTCTGGACCCGAGAGGGGCTGGGCTGGGGTTTGAACTGTTCCTGTGCACACATTTGTGAGCTTTACTATGGTGAATTTCCCTTGGAGCTGCTCACCAGCAGAGGCCAAGCCTACCTTGCTATTTTGCAAATGATCAGAGCCATCAAATCTGGTTCTCTGGGATGAAAGGAACAATCTCTTTCCTCATTTCCAGGAAATGCTTAGCATTGGTCCCTCCCTGACTGTACCAGATAAGTGAAGTGGCCATTGGTCCTAGGTTGCCTGTATACCCACACTCTTCTATGAAGCTGGATTGGCAACTTCTTTCTAAGTGAAACCACCTCATAGACGTGGTTGTAATTTAGGGAGGTGGGTCAATGCACACACAAACACTGATGAGGCTGGTGTACGCCTATAATCCCAGCACTTGGGACACGGGCTGGGAGTTCAACACAATTCTCAACTATATAGAGTTCAAGGCCAGTTGGAGATAAAGTGGGGAGGTGGAAGTTTGGCTTGTTTTAATAGCCAGTGGCATGGTGAACAACCTCGGCTTGGCTTGCTGGGACACTTAACCTTGTGTTACAAGGCCAGGAGGGTTCTGTGTGTTGGATGCAGCAACTCAACAGTTTGAAGGGGTTGGAGTAGCTCACCTGGTAGAGTGCTTGCTTAGCATACACAAGGTCCTGGGTTTGCCCAGCGACCATACACCAGGTGCGGGGCTACACCGCTGATCTCAGCATGCTGGCGGCGGAGACAGGAGGACCAAACGTTCAAGGACAGTTTGGGCTACGTGAGATTCAGTTAAACACGAAAGAAAGCTGTGCGTGGTGGAGAAGATCTTTAATCCCAGCGCTGGGGAGGCAGGAATAGGCAATTCTTTGAATTCAAGGCCAGCCTGGTTTACATAGTAAATTCCAAGAGAGACAGAGCTATATAAAGAAACCTTATCTCCACACCCCCCCTCCCCGCCCCCAAAAAGGGCAGAGAGGATGGAAAGTCCAGGAAAGGTGGGTGGGTGAACTCCTCAACAGTGACATCAGGGTTAGGTTACCTCATGGGACCCCACAGCATTAACGTTTTCTCCTAGACTCAGATGACCACCAGAACTCACCCAGGAAAAGAATGAAAGCGCTCCCCTTTTTTAGAACCAATAGGCCATTTCCTTCTGACCCAGTGGTCAGATTTAGGTCACATGCCAGTTCCTGAGCTACTCACTGGCAGATGGAGGGGGTGAATTTGACCACCCAGGCGACATTTGGATGTCATAACTGGGAAGATGCTGCTGGCGTCAGATGGATGGGGTACAGGAGACTATGATGCCCCGCAGTAGGACAGGTGGCCCCACCACAAAGCATCATAGCCCCAGATGTAGGTAATGTTAGGAAGCCCACCTTGGACCTATCAGGGTGAGCCCTGGGCTGGGTCTGTTTCCCCTGAAACTCCAAATTTCTTCAGTGGTCAGGGGCAGAACCCCCTTAGCTGGTGAGCCCGAGTCCCTGCCAGCCAGTCTCTCGGGGCTGCCGGCTCATACCAAGTCATAGTCCTCAGGAGGAGTGTGCTGGCTTTGCTGCAACAGCAAGCTTTATGGTGAGATCTCAGTTTGACACCAGGTACCTCTCAGACATTCTTCTGTCCCCGGAGGTGCTTTGACAACCTACCTTGGCTGAGAACCCAGGCCCAGGGTGGGGTTGGTTTGGTGTACTAAATGTGGGGCAACTGCACCCTCCGGTGCTGAGGTAGAGCTTTGCAAGTTCACAGGAGTACTTGGTGGATGACCCTGGGGAGCTGATCAGCCTTCTGATCTGGCGTTGGATGAGATGAACTCCAGAAAGTACTAGGCATACAGTGGATACTAAATGAGTCACACAGGACGGGGGACCAATGACAGACATTGCTGAGGATGACCCAAGAGGGCTCAGTGACCTAGCAGGGGCAAGGGAACATGACCCAGAAGTCAAGGCCAGGCCAAGGATTTGTTCTTGCTGCCCAAGGCCCTTGTACACCCAGCAGTAGGGTCCAGAAATGCCTGGATTCAAAGACTGCGAAAACAATGGCTGGACTTTAAGGTCCCCCACTTCCCGAAGGACACTGGGGATGGCCAGTGTTTAGGCCTAACTGTGCCCCTCTCTTGTAGACCCCATGATGGAGCTGGCAGGCCCCGACCCCTCTGAACTTGACAGCCGACAGGAGATGGAGGACTTCGAGGAAAACGCCTACACCTACACCAGTGTGGACGGCAGCGCGGAGGCCAGCGCCCTCACTGAGCAGGCCATGAAAGAGATGGCCTACTACAATGTGCTCTAGCGGGCCAGCCGAGTGGGCGGGGAGGGCGCAGGGGGAGACCCACGTACTGAGGGCTGCGCCTCTGCAGCCCAGAACCAAGCTACTGCCCACTGCCCAGCCCCCCCTTCCCACCCCCCAGTTATTTGCACCACTAGGGATCTTTAGACCAAATGGAGACTGTACTACTGTCCTTACAGGGAGCTGGGCGCAGGCCTAGCCATCCCAGTGAGGGAAAGGTAACCAGGAGGCCAGATCTGGTTCTCCTTGGCCTGCTGCTGTGGGTGGGCAGGGAAATGCTAGTGAAGTCTCTTACAGGCACAGGGGCACGGACTTAAGAGGTCTTCTCCCGAGCCACCTCAGGCCCCATAGGGCTTCTTGAGGAAGAGAGTGCTTGAGCCGGGTCTTGTCTCTTCTCTGCACCTACTCTGAGCTTCTGCACTGGTCAGCACTGCCCACCCCCACCCTGCTCAGACCCAAGAACCTCTTTCTTTCCCCTGTCACTCGACAGCCAGGCAGGGCACTCTGCCTTCTACCTCCTGGGCCTCCCCTTGCTCCAGTCAGACACATGCACGGCCCTAGCCCTGGCCTGGCCCTGCCTGTAGCAGAGCCAGGGAGCCCAGCCTCCAGCACACCCTCCCAGCCAGCTGGCAGAGCACCCTTGCCCTCAGCCCTGTTTGAAAGAATGTCTCTAACACGCATTTCAACCAATTTCATCCAGTTCTGTCCCAAGCTAAGGTACCGACCATAGTGTCCTCAGCAAACAAAATCAGAGCATACCTTGTGTCTGGCACACATTAACAAGGGCAGGTGGAGGCCCTGTGAGCCAAGGGAAAGAGCAGACACATCCCTGGGACCGGGAGAGACTGTCTTCATGGGAAGCCGGGGACGGCCACCATGAGAAGAGGGGGACTAGAATGTTCGGTTTTGTTTTGTTTTTTAATGAGCAGGCAGGTGCTGTGAGGAGTGGGTGAGCTGAGACTCAGCAGGCTCCCAGGGAAGATTTAAAAGGAAATCGAAGACCATAGGTGGGGTGGGGGGAATGTGTTTGAGCAAGTGAGGATATTTTGAAGGTAATTTATGTTTTCCTTTCCAACTCTCCTGTCTGTCATCTTCTTCACTGGAGTGATGGAGAGGCAAGCCGAAGCTTTCTTGTGTGCTCGGCACTTCCTACTTCCCTACAGCAGCCAGGCATGGTGGGACCTGGGCCCAGGGGGTGTGCCACTAGCTGGGAGCCTCAGAAGGCTAAGGCGGGAGGGAAGAGGAGGCAGAGAGCCGACCTGGCCCTCTCCAGCCAGTGGCTCTGTGCCATCCAGGCTGCCAAGGCTCTGACTCCATGGGGCCAGCTGCCCTTCCTCACCTGTCCGCTCTCCTGCCCTCTATCCTCCAGGCAGTGACTAGCACATTCAGAAACTCCAGAGTACCCAAACCCCTGCCCGTAAATCTCAAGGCCCCCAAGGGTAGGAGCAGGCAGAGCACCCCTGCAAGGGCACAGATGAAGCCACCAGCTTTGGCTGAGAAACCAAGAGGGGGACCAGCTGGGGTGGGAGGTGTTGATTTGAAATGCAGCTGCCCCCAAGCTTGTGTCCCCAAGCGAGACACCAAGCCAGGCCTCAGGGTGATTGTTCAGAACCAGGGGGAGGTGAACACAATGGCCCAAGTGTGGTCTCCCAAGGCTCCCGGCCTCCCAGGTGCCCGTCATGATGACCCTCAGGTGGCAGTGAATAGGTGTCACTGTTCAAGACATTTCTCCTGCTGAGCAGAAGGCATCACCCCTGCAAACTACCTCTTCCCACAATGACTTTCTCCCCTGGTACCAAAAAGCACCCTGTACCTCCTCCTCTCCTGCCAACGCAGTGGCCTTGGTCTTGGAAACAGAAGGGAGAAGTCTGGCCTGGGTGGGGTCTCTCATTGCCTCCCAGTCCGCCATTGGCACAACCCTCTGAGGGGTACCATGCTCAAAAAGCCCCCTCCCTACGCCTGTGCCTGGGCAATGCAGAGGAAGGTACACCACAGTGCGCAGTTGGAGCTGGGGGCGGTCCTGGCAAGGCTCCGGCCTCACCCCTCCCAGCCTTCTGCAAAGGGTGACTCAGAAACCCTGGCCGAATTCCACCCTAACTTATTCTGACGTGTATACAAACCAACTGTTTAACGATTCCCCTTGTGCAGAGCCCTACTGTGTTTTTATGTTCCTGTTTAAAAGAGAAGTTTACTTAGCAATAATTATAAATAAATGAATATTCTTTAGTGAGGTGACTGGACATGCTTCTTCCTGTTGCTCTTGGTGGCCCTTCTCTCCCAGGAGGTCCCAACAAGGCTCCCCAGTCACATACCAGACAGCATCCCTCTCTGGAAGTGCAAGACTGTCCCAGCCACCTGACCCAAGGGTGGGTTTTTTTGGGGGGGGGGCTTTGTTTTGAGACAAGGTCTCTGTACCCCAAAATCTACCTGCGGAAGGCTGGGATTACAGATGTGTACCCCCACGCCCGGTTTCTTTCTCAATGCTCTTTTTCTAGTATTGAGGCTTTTTGAGATGGTCTCACTATCCATCCCTGGCTGGCCTGGAACTCAACCGTCTTCCTGCCTCAGTTCCCTGAGCCAAGATTACAAGTATGTGCGCACACCTGATTTTCAGATTTTTTTGTTTTGTTTTGCTTTTGATTTTTGAGACAGGCTCTTCAAACTCCTGGTGATCTTTCAACCTCGGCCTCCCATGTGCTGGGATTACAGGCATGCACTGTTCTACCAAATATTCCCACTCTGAGGTTAGTTGCATCTGCAAATATGAAACCTGTGCCTAGGGGCTGGGTAGTCAGTTAAGAGCACTTGCTGCTTTTCCAGAGGGTCCAATTCCCACCACCCACATGGCTGCTCATATCTGTTTCTAACTAACTCCAGTTCGAGGGGATCCAGTGTCCTGACCTCAGCAGGCCCTGTATGCACGTGGTACACAGAAACACATACAGGGTGAAACGCCCATACACATAAAATAGTAAAATAAAAGGGTTTTAAAACCCATGGCTAGGGCTGAGGATGAGGCTTGGTTGGTAAGAGTTCTTGCCTGCCGTGCAGGAGGCCCTGGCTTTGACCCCCAGCATAAACAGTATTCAAGTCCCAGCATTCAAGAGGTGGAGACAGGAGGCTAAGGAGTTCAAGGTCATCCTCAACTACATAAGCAATTTGAGACCAGTCTAGGATATGTAAGACCAATTTTTTAAAAAAGGGTGGGGCGGGTGATGGGTGCCTGAGAATACAGCTTAGTAATAAAATGCTTGCCTAGCTAAATTCAGTTCCCAGCACGGCTCAAAAACTGCTCTGGACACAGAGAGCTGACTTTAATAAAGTTACCCGGCAGGACCAACAAGCAGAAAGAGAAATCACTGCCCGAGGACGGTGCTTGCAATGGATGTACGTATGGCTTGGAGCAGCTTTTCAACACCTTGCTTTTTGTTTGTTTGTTTTTTGTTTTTCTACTTTTTTTTTTTTTTTTTTTTGGTTTTTCAAGACAGGATTTCTCTGTGTAGCTTTGTGCCCTTCCTGGAACTCACTTGGTAGCCCAGGCTGGCCTCGAACTCACAGAGATCCGCCTGGCTCTGCCTCCCGAGTGCTGGGATTAAAGGCGTGCGCCACCACCGCCCGGCTTTGTTTTTGTTTTTCTTTTTTTTTTTTTTTTTTTTTGGTTTTTTGAGACAGGGTTTCTCTGTGTAGCTTTGCGCCTTTCCTGGAACTCACTTGGTAGTCCAGGCTGGCCTCGAACTCACAGAGATCCGCCTGGCTCTGCCTCCCGAGTGCTGGGATTAAAGGCGTGCGCCACCACCGCCCGGCTGTTTTTGTTTTTCAAGACAGAGTTTCTCTTATGTAGTTTTGGTGCCTTTCCTGGAACTCACTCTGTAGCCCAGGCTGGCCTCGAACTCACAGAGATCCGCCTGCCTCTGCCTGCTTTTATAGTTGTACCAAAGCAGTGAAGACGAGCCTGAGGCTCCATATACACAGACCTCAGAAAGCCTGGGCAGCCCTGCAATAAAGGACCTGGGAGGGTCTGTTTTTAAGAGTATAACAGGGCAAATAAAGCCCAGCACACTAGCACAGGCCTTTAATCCCAGCCCTCGGGAAGCAGACACGCGTAGACCTTTGTGAGATCAAGACCAGCCTGATCCATACAGTGAGTTCCAAACTAGCCAAAGCTACACAGTGAGACCTCGTCTCAAAGAAAGAAAGAAAAGAATAGGGCTGGGGATGCAGTGGTGGAATGCTTCCTTAGTATATACAAAACACCGAGTCTCAGCACTACAAAAGGTGCACATGTTAATAATAATTACAGTATCACAAAGTGATAATCCCTAGACGGAAGGGATCCTGCTTGGGGATTCTGTGAGCCTCTGCCCCTAGGCCCCAGCTGCCTCCCGCTCAGGGACAAAGACTGCAGACAATTCTGTGAAGAATCCAGGGCCTGCCTTACCCCAAAACTCTAGTAACTCAGGCAGCTTCTGTAGAGCACATGAGGCCCACAGGCTGCCTTGGGCCTCTAGCTGACCTATTAACAGCCGAAGGCACCCCAACCCTGTCCCTGGGGCGCCCTGCCAGCTGCTTCCTCCCACTCAGGGACAAACACAGCAAGACGGTTTTGCAAAGAGCCTTTTAGTAGCTAAATATGGCACCATGTGATTCAGAGCAATATAAATTACAGTATGCAAAACACACTGGCTGGCTGAGGTAAAGCACACCATTCTTGCCTCGTGTCCACCATGAGGGGAAGCCGCTCACATAGTTTAAAAAAAAATCTCCATCATAGAAAAAATGTCCCCTAGAAAGGCCACCAGAGAGAGTGGCTGTGGGGCTCACCCTCTACCATGTATGGAACACCCACTGCAGTTAGGCTGTGTCTGCCCCTACTGCTTGCCCAGAGCTCGGTCCAGGTTGCTCTTAATGGTGTCCAGGAAGTCCGTGGTGTTCAGGAAATGTTCATTCAGCTTCACACTGCCAAGAGAACATTGGGAGCGACTCAGGCCTGAAGGCCGTCAACCAAGCCCTTACCAGGCACATCAGACCTCAGGCATCAGAATGGCCATCTCATGCCACCAGGCACAGGTCCAAGTTTTCCAGTAGCCCACTGCCAGAGGGCCACAGTGAATTTAGCAGAAACTTAAGAGTGACAAGCCGCTGACATAGGTCTCGGGAGAGAAGCCGGGAGACAGTTGGAGAAGAGATTGAAGAAACAGGGCGACTGCCGGTGGGGACCACCTCAGGAGGCGCGGCCTGAGCCATTGCTCAGGACTTGTTCTGCCCCAAACCCTAGGCAGCTATGCTGACTCATGAGAGGGACCCTAAGCGGGGTCCCCTGGCTTCCTCCCACCTGCTGAGGTCTCAGGCCCTGTATCCCAAAGCACACACTTGCTGAGGCCATGGATGCAGCCAGCCAGGTCCTTGGTCATTGCTCCGCTCTCCACAGTCTCTACACACACCTTCTCCAGGGTCTGTGCAAACCTGCAGGGAATGTGGCGGTGAGGCCCCAGGCATGCTGGGCAGAACCACGGGCAGCATGCTGGGCAGGACCACGGGCAGCATGCTGGGCAGGACCACGGGCGGCATGCTGGGCAGGACCACGGGCGGCATGCTGGGTAGGACCACGGGCGGCATGCAGCTGCTCAACTTCTCCCCATGTGCTCACCTGATGAGGTCCTGGTTCCCATCCAGCTTCCCGCGATGCTCTAGACCCCGTGTCCAGGCAAAGATGCTGGCGATAGGGTTGGTACTGGTGGGTCGTCCCTGGGGACAGGCCATGGGATCAACAGCTGAGCCCCCGATGGAGTTATCCACCTTTAGACCGACAGATCAGGCGCATCCTCCCAGCCACCAGATCCAATGGGCACTGGATCTTGAGGTGCACACTCACCTTCTGGTGCTCTCGGTAATGGCGGGTGACGGTCCCATGGGCAGCCTCAGCCTCAATTGTCTTCCCATCAGGACAGACCAGCACAGACGTCATCAGGCCGAGGGAGCCAAAGCCTGCGGGTGGGCAGATGTCCCCTCAAGGGTATGCTTCAGCTCCAGACCCTTCATCTTAGACTGGAATGCCTTCTCATCTTCTGACCCCCATTCCCAGCCCACTGCAGCTGAGAGGACCATACAGGCCTCACAGGCAGCTAGCTGTCATCCATGTGCTAACGTCCCTCTGTGTGCTCCCTTCCCAGACCGCACAGCCTGGGGCTGTCAGTCTTGCGGCCCCCAGAAGGCCATTTCAAGCAGAAACAAGCTGCCCTCATCTATTTGGCAACCCTCACAGTTTCTGCTGCTGTGAGGCTACTTTCAAACTTTACTTCCAAATGTCCCCCAGATCCAGATTTCAGCTGGAATGCCTGTTGTCAAGGACCCTGGGGAATCAAAAAACTCCCCCAGACCCACAAGGAATGGGCAGGCTCAAAAGTGGGCCCATTACAGAAGGAAAAGATTCAGCTCAGATTTCATTTTTCACATTTATTTGCTTTTATTTTGTGTAGGGGACGGTGCACACGTGCCCAAGTAGAGGTCAGAGGACGGCTTGCAAGAGTCTGTTTCCTCCACCATGTAGGTTCTAGGGATCGAACTCAAGCTGTCGAGCTTGGTGGAAGTGCCTACACTCGCTGAGCCATCTCAAGAGCTCTTTTCCTGCCTTGTTTTATTTTTGCTTATCCTGGAATTCACTATTTAACCCAAGCTGGCCTCGAACTCACAGCCATCTGCCCACCTCAGCCTCCTGAGTGCTGAGATCACAAGCGTGAGCCCCTGTGCCCAGCATCCCGCACTCCTTTCTATTGGAACAGCCTTGTCCCACACCAGTCACAGGGACAGAGATAGGCAGATCCCCTGGACGCAGCAGCCAGCTAGTTTAAATTCTAGTTCACTGAAAAAACCGTCTCAAAAAATAAGAGAGAGGGAAGACAAGACAGCTCCGCTGGTGAAGGCTCCTGTCACCAACCCTGACGGCCTGAGGTCAGCCTCTGGGACCCACGTGGTGGAAGGACAGAAGCACCTCCTGCAAGGTGTCCTCCCAGCCCCACGCATGTGCTGCAGCGTACGCACGCACGCACGCACGCACGCACGCACGCACGCGCACAAATAAAGAAAGGCAGCTCAGGAGGAGAGCGCTTGCCTGACTCTCATGAGGACCTGTGTAGAATGCCCAGTACTGCCAGACAAGACAGATAAAAATGAATTCACAAACATTTTTAGATGGGGTCTATTATGTAGCTCTGGCTGTCCTAAAACTCACTA